TTTGAAATTCGATCCCAGGCACCACCATCACCCCAAAAGTCAATATAAAAATATATCATAGAACAAGTGCTGCTTTCTTTTAGGAAGCCAACCGAGCTTTGCGTATTTGGGAGCAGCGAACTAAGTTACAGAAAACCTTTCTGGGAAAAAACCCTGATTCAACATGGACTGACCTACGAAGGACCTTAACACCTGCTTAGCCTTAAAGTTACAGCACTCTGGATGTACATTACAGAAACTTGTACCTGATCAGAGTAGGAGCAACAAATGAGAGTCCTATGTGTATGGCATGACAAAAAGGGATGAACTAGCTTCAGAGAAATTGTTTAACTCACTCTGTCTCGTCCGCAGCGATTTTCATCAGTCCCGTGATCAAATCGTTCACGCTGGTGTCAGGAGTTAACGAAGCGATATACTTCTCGAAAATTTTCCGCCCTTCGACGACCTTTCGGAATGGTTTATCCGGAGGGCTATTGCCCCAAACATATGTCCCTGGAAAGAGTAACATTGAGTAAATGGCCAAGTTATCAAAAAGTCACGTACAGAGGGTTCATTCTTTCAAGACACCTCCGGCACACATACCTGCCGGCCATTTTCGTGGTTCCACTTTGTCGACAAGCATATTTGTCAAAGATGTCATCTCGTAGAGGTTTTCTTTATTCCTGTAATTATTACCCTATATTAGCAAACTCCTTAATTCTGTTCATCCCAACTTTTTGTACGTCTCGACTTGAGCTCACCTTTGTAATCCTAAAAATTGGAATCCATTAAATAGATCAGCTTTGCTACTCAATTCAGGGAAAAAGTCTTCACAGGAACGCCCAGACTCCAGAAACTCTTTAGCGATTCCACCTGAAGCAGAACACTTAATAATTATCGCATTCTTCCACTCTTGGAGAACAGGAATTACTACAGTTTAATATTAAAAAATCGAATTACCTCGACTACGGCCATGCTGAAGCTTTTTTGCAGATGGTGATTGTGTAATTGAGAGTAAAATTCCAACGCTTCCTACCATATTTGTTCCAAACCATGTGCCCCTCACAGGATCTTGGATATCAATCCCTACAATGAAATATAGTTTAGATTGAAGTAGTTTTTCAGCAAAAATTCTAAATCTTCTGAAAAGATGGTCCACACCTATCTAAGCGATATCGACTTCTTCAATAAACTAGAGCGCAAAACCATCGATTCCGCCTACTTGGCGATTTTTCACGGAGTACAAATGCATGGCGGAATCACCAGCATTGCGCAGTTTCCAACAAAGTTTGGTACATCAGTTACTCCTAACCTACAGCAATTATCCCAAATTCATGGTAGATTCTAGGCAAGAGAAAATTGAACAGTTTAGATCTGCGCTTCACCACAGAGAAAAAACGAGTTTTGGGTGAAGAGCACCCAAATATTGGAAAGAGCAGATGTAAGCTGATATGCTTCTCACAAGTGGTCGATAATGGAAGATAATTGGAAAGATGACAAGCGAAGGTGGTAAATCAGCGGGAACCACATTTTACTGGAAGATTATTTAGCTTACCACTTAGGACACCATTTCGCCAATCCAACTCCAGAGTTGGTCTGTCTACTGATTCGTCT